TAACGGGGGGCACTCATTATTATGAAATTTGCAATTACTGAGGGATTTTGCGAGTGCCATTCGATAGAGCGTCGAAAAATATACTAAGAGAATTAATTTCAGCCCGAAATAATGTAATAGAAATTTTTTATTGAATAAACAAAAATTGAGGAAAATCTATGGGCAGCACATAGGATAACGGGGGGAAAGTCAAATTTTCGAAATTTTCGAAATTTTCGGTATTTTGAAAACGTCATTCGATAAAGCGTCGAAAACTGCCCTAGGAAAATTAATTTCAGCCCGAAATAATGTAAATGAAATTTTTTATCGAATAAACAAAAATTGATCAAAATCCATGGGCAGCACATAGGATAACGGGGGGGAAAGCCAAATTTTTGAGATTTTCGATATTTTGAAAACGCGAATCGATAGAACATCAAAAAATATACTAAGAGATTTTTTTACAACGCGAAAAAATGTATTATAAAAGTTTTATAGCCTAAAAACTATTTTTGAAAACTATGGGCAGCACATAGGATAACAGGGGGGGGGAAAATTTTCGGCGTTTTGAATATTTTCAAAATTTTGAAAATGCCATTCGATAGTGGACCGAAAAATATACTAAGAGTTTTTTTTACAGCCCGAAAAAAGCTTATTTAAAAATACTTTTATCATATAAAAAGTTTGAGTGCCCCCCCGTTATTTTCCCCCCCCCCCCGTTATCCTATGTGTACCGAAAATAGTTTTCAAAGTCAGATTTTTGAAAGATTTTTTGTCGAGGGCAGGGTTTGGTCATAATGGATCGGGTCCGCGGACGGTTGGGGGTCTGCGCCGATTTTTCCACATCTCGGCTACTTTTCGTCGCATAAATCGCCAAAATTAATCGGAATGAAGAATTTTGTACATCATTTTGATTATCCACACTGCTTCATTTTTTGGCACACCGCTCTTTTGCATATCGAATGTGCGTGTTGCATTCTGGCTTTTCCAAGCATATCTGACCAGTGAGCCCCGGGTCCTGCACGGTCCGCCACGATTCGCCTCCGATTTGGGTCCAGCGTGACCAGCCCTGGTCGAGGGCTATATTCTCGAGAGGTCGTATATGCGGAAAGTCGCATTTTCGAACATGTAAAAAAACTGCTGAAAAACATCTTATCCTAATGAAACAAGCCAAAATCGTTAATTTGGAGTACCTTAAAGCGCACGTTCAGGGAGGGGCCGTATACTCTGCCCAACGTATACACCCTATGGACGTAGGGACGGCGCGCACTGCTTGCCCGTGCTGTGACAGGCCATTTCCCTCCTTTGCGGCGTGGGGCGCACCCATCCCCTCGTCAAGTTGTAGCTGTGGTTGACTGGTATCCATCCGCGCCTCCGGGGCCCGGGTTCGACCCCCGGCCGCGGCAAAAATCTTTGCTTTTTTCCAAAAAACGCCCCTGAACGTGCCCTTTAATCCTCAGTATATGAGATTGGTGCGTCGGACAGACGATCATCGGATAAGACGATCCTCGTGAACAACCCTGCTTCAAAGTCAATTTGAAATTCAGGATACTTCTATGGTCCTAATATGTTCGCGCGCAACAGAACGCGAAATGACCCTGACCAGAAGGAAACAGCTGATATGCTTTATTCAGGTATAAGTTTGGTTTATTAAGAATAACAGGCATGCCTAGCGTTTGCCACGAAGTTAAATCTGTCCCCCAAAAAGGCGATGAAAAGTGTCGATGAAGTCGAGTATAAAGACCTGAAGGAGAGTAAGCGCCGGCTCAAAGGCTCAAATAAAATTTTAGGATTCCTTCTCTGGGCTGTGGATCGTGGGTTAAGCCCCGACAATTCCGAGGATCGTCAAGACAAAGTCAAAAATTTTCTAAAATCTTGTAGGATTGTAATGCACATTATACCACCTGGCTTTTAGTATATGGCAAGGATCGCGCGACAACGGTTCGAAAACTGTATTCGGAGGTTGCGAACATAGAAAAGTAATCTGTAATGCATGAAAGCAACCCTTGTGGTAAAAAGCAACACATTTATACGATTTACTACCATAAGGTTGAAATTCAGAATAGAAACAAACTTTTGCATAGAATTGGCGGGGGTTTTTTTCAGGGGAAATTATCTTATGTAAGTTTAGAAATTCTGAATTGAAGCGTTAAAACTCAGACACCACGAAATTTCGCCTTATAAACATTGACATTATGATTTTTGAACATTTTGAAAGAAACTCAGACACAACCATGGACGTTTAGAGGGACCCTTGCCTCTCATTCTTGCATACTCGACCAACTGCCGTCGACCGACTATTTGACTCCCGACAAGTTCATGCCGCTGCTTCGCGTCTTGCTCCAGGACCTGCAGATAGCGGTAGGATTGTTCAAATACACGGTATCCTAGGCTCCGTATCAGAGTCTTTAAAGATCAGAATCTCTAAAGTTAGAATCTCTAAAATCAGAATTTCTAAATGTTAGAATCTCTAAATGTCAGAATCTCTAAATTTCGGCATCTCTAAATCTCTTGATTTTCCTGATTCTGACATTTACAGATTCTGACATTTAGAGATTTTGAAATTTAAAGACCCGGATTTTAGAGATTCTGAAATTTTCCCGGTATCGCGACCCTATCAGAGTCTCTAAAAATCCGAATCTCTAAATTTCGGAATCTCTAAAGTTTTGCTGATAGTTTTGAAAGTTTGAAAAGTGAACCACCTAAAAACATTCTAGGAAGGAAACGATCAAATTACAGTACAACAATGCTAATATCTGCCGGTTCTTGGCTGAGGGTGGCTACGTTGTGGCGGAAAATGGCGCTTTCGACTTCCTCGATAAAGTCACCATTGCCAAGATTGCCGACATCTATGACAACATTCGCGCCAGATTGGTCAGATTTCTGTTTCGAAGCCACACGATATTTAGGATTATTCGCGCTTAGTCAAAGGTGCTACATGCCAATGGCTTCGGGCCCGCAACATTACGCGGCTGCTTCCCGTGCATTTTTCGAAAACATTAACAAATATTTATGCGACCTGCTAAATGAAGGTGTTTCTTTACCTACGTGTGTTACCTATTTGATAAGAGGAGTGCCAGCAGGGGTCCAATAAATGGATTGGGAGTAATATATTTCTGATGGAGTTCACCAGAGTTTCTGGGGCGGTAACAGGTAACTCTTGTATGTACGTAGCGGTTAAAAAGATGTCTCCTCGGCAAATTGTTGTGGGCGCTCGAACACCACAGAACGTTATTGCGCCACGGAGGATGGAGCGTTTCACTTTATGCAAAAAGGCACAATCGAGAAACTGAATCGTTAAGAAACTTTGTTAAGTAACAAAAATATTCGCCTCATAAAAAAGGTGATTTTTATAGATAGGAATTTGATAATGCCGAATCTCTAATAAATCCTCGATTGAAAGAAACTGTATCAAGGAGTAACAACATATTCCGCAGAGACTTCAGTGAGCGTTTATAGTAGTTTTCAAACATAGCGTATTATTTCCATATATAGTATTAGATAGGAAACCTCGCCGGCGTGAAGCAGGTTGCATACTGCGAATTCGTCGAGCTCCTGAAAAAAATGCGCATAAATGAATTCTGGCGACCAGGCCCGCATCCGGCGCATCCGAAAAACGGCCGAGCGTCGAAAAAACACCTGTTTTTTATACATAACCTATATATAATTATATACCATTATATAAAATTATATATACCTAACCTATATATAACTTTTTATACCTTCTGTTTTTATGCCTAACTTTCTGTTATCTAGGTTTAATTGAAGTTGAAATGCCCTAAAAGTTTCGATATCTGCGGTAAATTTTCGAGTTTTTTTGCTGCCACATTTGGGCGTACGTTCGCTACTTCGAAAAGTACTTATTCGGAAAAGTCACTAGTCAGAAAAGTCGCCACTCCTCTAAAAAATGCAAACTGCGGCGCATGGCTAAAAAAATATACGACTTTTAAAGGGGCTCGGAAGTCAAAATTCGCGTGTGCGGGGATTCAACCTGCTGGTCAAAAACGAAAAGGTTACTGCCAAAACGTACCTGAAAAGTGATTTCGGCGCGAAAAAACGCAAAATATTTGAGAAAAACCGAAAACTTTTCGGGGCGAAAACGGCTTTTGAGTGAGCGGCGATTAAAGGTCGTAATGCCTGGTAAGGCACCCAATCTCTCGACCTTGGAGATTCACCAACCAATTTTAATAATTAAAACGACTAGAATCATCCAAATTTCGTGAAGATTCCAGAAATAACGTCAGAATTTGGAAATTCAAGCGTTTTCCCCTCCAAACAAGGATTAGAGAACATGCGACGCGGTCGTGTTGCGGCGGCATCTGGCTGTTTTACCAGGAATCAACGCGGGGGGCGTGAACCAGATTTCGAAGCCCCGTTAAAGGGCACATTCAGGGACGTTTTTTTGGAAAAAAGCAAAGATTTTTGCCGCGGCCGGGGGTCGAACCCGGGCCCCGGAGGCGCGGATGGATACCAGTCAGCCACAGCTACAACCTGCCGAGGGGCCGAGGGGCGCCCCACCCCCCAAAGGAGCGGAATGGCCTGTCACAGCACGGGCAGGCCGTGCGCGCCGTCCCTACGTCCATAGGGTGTACACGTTGGGACAAGTACACGGCCCCTCCCTGAACGTGCGCTTTAAAGGTACACTAACGTCTCGTCGGTTTGGTTACCGACCGGTAACCGTCCGCGGGATAGCAAACAGGGTTGCGGTAGGTGCCGCCGCGGAGCAAAACCGAACCCGCGCCACTCGCCTGGGGCAAGCGCCATAGACCAATAGGCCATGGGACAGACGGGACAGGGGAAAAGGAAGGGGGATAAGAAGGGTCCAGGCGTTGCGCGGCAGAGGACTCGGATTTCTGACCGCGAACTGACTTTTTGCACGAGATTTTAGTGTACCTTTAAGGTTTGATGGCTCCCATGATGCAAACATAACCCTCACCCAAGAACCAAGTATAAATAAACCAAGCCATAAAGTTTGAAAAGTTTGGTATTGACTTTGTCAAATTTACGTACATTGTTCGTCAGGGTTTTTGGACCCTCATTGATGTCACGCATTGCCATCTGGAATTCTTTCCTGGCCCAACCGTCATATCTTTCGCCCAAAAGGTCGTTGATAGTCGGCTGACCGCATCGGACAGGGCATCTCCGACCTGGAAGTTCCAAGGCTTTTTGCGAAACCCCGCAAGTGGTCCGTACGAACGCCCAATTTTTACAATGTCGATATTTATTGAAAGCTCTCGAAAAGACAAGTAGGTGTATTTTCTCCGAGTTCCTTTTCAACCCTGGTTCTGCTTTAAATATAGTTAAAACTTATTACAAACAATTCGAAAAAACTTTATATTTGATGACTAGGTCAACCGGGACCACCAGGAAAAAAATTGGTCCCCCCCCCCCCCCGGGAATCCTAAAGAACCGCAATTTCTCTCCTTTGCGTTGTGGGGCGCCCCTCCCCCCTTCGCTAGGTTGTAGCTGTGGTTGAGTGGTATCCATCCGCGCCTCCCAAGAGGGGGGCCCGGGTTCGACCCCCCGCCGCGGCGAAAATCTTTGCTTTTCCAAAAAAAAAAGGCCCTGAATGCGCCCTTTCAGCGAATAATCGAGATTTCTAACATGAAAATTTCAAACAAAATGGTATTCAAATTAACACAAAAATTCAGAAACATCGGCCCGTGTGCTCCCAACTGATACTAGATTTGTTATCGACCCGGGTCGAAAAAAAAAGTGTTCGAACATTTTTCGTTTCGACCCGGGTTCTCCTGCCCCTGCTGCGGGGTTTGTTATCCATCATTTAGGTAACCGGACCCACTTCATTAAACCATTTGTAGAGCAAGTAGCAGTTTTTGCATTGCATGCGCTGGCGTGCTTGCCTGAAAAGCTGCTCATAGGCAAAATAAGCAAAATCCTAGGGTTTTACAAAGTGTAGTGAAAATTTTTAGCTAATTATTATGCTCGAACGCGAACCGCTAATTATTTTAACAACCTGACCTGAGGCTCGAAAGGCCGCTACGCGACTTGCAGCCCCGGCTGAGCTCATGAAATTCGTCAAATTGAATAAATCGCCTGAATTGCTCCGAAAAATAACGAAAAACGCTTAGTGTGCACTGATCTCGGAGTCATTGCGCATCTAATGTTGTTAAAGGGTTGCGTCAAATAGGGAAAGGTTAAAAACCTTCCCCTATTTGACGCAAACTCTATCTTTTATATTAAGTCTGATTAGAAAACTCACGGCTCATAACATAGGCTGGCTCCGTAGCAAAGAGCTCGTCTCTGCGCCTCGCTCTCGGCGTCCGCGGCTAACGCCTTTGGCAGGCCGCCGTTTACCGCTTCGAATAGTGGGCCAAAATATTGTGCCAGTGCGAGGCAGTCATACCGTGGTATGATCTTTTGTGCCAGACAGAATTGTTCGGTCGCGCGGTCGAACACGGTTGCCGCAACCACCGACGCCTCAAAAAATAATTAATTGCGACAAGAAAATCATCTCGAAACTAAACGTTTATACAGGGTGTCCCATAGAAAAGCACCCTTCCGGCATTTTGCCGTATTACATCCGATCTGTCCGAAATTTGGACCAGAGGTGTTTCAGACCCTAAATAACCACAATCCTGAGTTATAGCCCGAGTTATAATCCTGATAGAAATTAATTAAATAGTCGTTGATTTCAACGATTTTTATAACCTAAAGTCACCCCCGATGATAAGCGAAATTAGGGATTCGCAGCCGGAAGTCGATGCAAATCGATGCAAAGTCCAAAAAGATAGCCGAAAAAACTGTTTAGAATCGCGTAAACAAAGAGTATTTTGGCGATAACTCCAAAAATACTGTAGCTGGCAGGCTATAACTCAGGATTGCGGTTATTTAGGATCCGAAACACCCTTGTGCAAGGTATGGGATGGACCGGATGTAATACGGCGAAATGCCGGAGGGGTGCTTTTTTCTGGGACACCCTGTATAATCAAAACCTGAGCTTCCAGCAGAGGCGAAAGCCCAAATCTCGCTGTAATTTTTCTGTAAACACTCACCTTACAGTTGCACTTCAGCACTACGTTGCAGACGATCCATATGCAGGTTTTGTAGGAATGTCGAGATTTCTTTAGGGGCTTGCCGCCAGTCTAAAATTTGGCTTGTATTGACGTTAATTTAACAGCAACCATTCATTTGATGAATACATAAAATAAATGCTAGATTTTCTGCAAACAATAAATTTACTAATTCCAAAATCATTGCACGCTGGCGAATAATTCGTTTAGCGTAAGTGCCTTCTTCCCGTCGAATCCTTGCCGAATTTTTTTTACACAATGGTGTGCGCGCTAAATCGCAATTTTACTAGTTAAAATTTCTCTGAAAAATGACGCACTTGATTTGTTCGTTAAAGGCATCACTTCAAACCATCGCCAGACCAGTTTCCAGATGAATCGATCATTCGCAAAGTATGACGCGTACTAAAAATAATATTTTTTTTGGCGTGTGCATCGTCAGTTGGAAATCTATGTTAAGTTGGTTCTGATTTTTCCGGGAGAAGTTTATCGGCGGAAAAAATTTTTTGTCAAGAGCTTCTTTTAGCTTAAAACACATTATTTTGAGCTTTACAACACACTCTTGATTTATTTTTTGATGCTCCATCCAATCGCGTTAACAAAATGTCGAAAAATATCGAAAATGTCGAAAAATGGCTTACGAACCGCATTTTCAGCTTTATTATTGCTTTTATTATAACTTTCATTAAGTATTCTGTTTTGATCCTGGATTCAAATGCTTAGTACATTTTTTGATAATCGATCTACCAGGTCGCAATGAGGTAGTCCTCAAAAAAATAATGAAATATTGGAAAATTTACGACATTAAACCCCCCCCCGCTAACGAAACAGAACTCAAAAGTTGAGCCTATGTGTAGGTCAGTAGACGTCTGCGGGTACGACGACACCGGGAGGGCATTTGAACTCGAATTGTACGAGAGTGTACTAACGACGCTTTCCTGCTAACGAACCAGCACCCAAAAGTTGCGGTCTTGGAACGTACCATGGGTAGCCTAGTAGTCGGCGGCATATCACGCTGGCGCCGGACGGGCCATTGAACTCGGATTCTACGAGGGTGTACTAACTACAACCTCTCTAAGCAAAAATTGGTATTACATAGGAATTTATACCCCAAATGGCACAACGTGGGCACACCGTGGGTCGTGTCATTAGCATGTTCACACACATTCAGCTCCAGGGCAGATGTTATCTTTGCAGTCGTACGTTCATTTTCCTAAAATAATTAATACTAAAAGAGGTGTTAGGTCTTACTGTATTTTTTGATCTACATTTCCTCCAGAAATTTGTACTCGTGCTTTTTTAGTCCAGAGCAGATAGGTAGAACTGCCGGATACGGCTAATTTTTAAAAAAAATGACAGCACCATTGTTCTAAAAAAATCTGATTTTTTGAAAAGCGGCTTTTTCTTGTCTATCGATGTATGGTGCTTTGGCATTACCGGGGGGGGGGGACGGGCGGAGCAACTTGTTCCCAATACAAAATTGCCGGTAGTTGCGCATCAGCAGCAAACCGGATCGTGATTGTAGTAAAACCTGACTGTATTTCAAGCGCAAAATGGTCCAAAAACATCAAAGAAATGTGAATATTCGGATTTTGGATCGAAAATGGGTAACTTTACCAAATTTTGCCAAGCTTTCGCATTGCGAAATGTAAAATTTCGTTGCCCCGCCGGTCAACTCCCTCCCCCCCGCTAATGGCAAAGCACCTGGGGCATTTAATGTGTTATTAATGAAAATCACCAGGGCCAGACGACTCAAACGACCCATTTTTTACCACAGAGGGTGGGATCAGGCCAACTTTTCTTCCCTATGGGACGCCGCGTTGTGTCGACTATTTGTTGTTGCTAAAAGTGAGATGATACAATTGCTTTCTAAAATCAAGATAATCGAATAATTCTTTTTAGCAATTGTTATGAAACAGTTGTAAATTTTTAATGTTATTCGGAAAACCTACCTACTTAGCTTAGGGCACAGAATGAGCCTAGCCCATTCGCTTTTTTCAAATCTTTCTCAAGAATTCTTTTAAATCAATACCTGCCGACAGTAAAAATCTTTTATATCGATTATACCAATAAAAATGAAATTTTACATTCATTGCCATTTTTTTCCGATTTAGTTTTAAAGTAGGTGTCCTTCGACGATTGATTACAAGAAGCTTTTTGTCGAAGATCCGTTGGCATTCTGCGCCTGGCGAGGGTCTGTAAGGGGGATCAAGATTTACATAATACATGATAATTTGATTTTTTGTATTTTTTAGACATGACAATTTTGATTAATTTTTAAGATTCAAATTTAAAAAATCATGACAAAACTTTTGTATACTAACTATCCTACTTCCTAATATGTGGAGCTTGATTCCTTTGGCTACACTTGACAATACCGCCCCAGCCCCAGCCGGAATGTTTGGCTATAACCTTTTTCTTTTACATTATTTTAGGTTCAAATTAATACTTTTAGTATGATTTTTCGACGTTTAACCAAATGGCGTTGCAAAAATCCCGACAAAATAAGCGAAAATACCGAAAACTTTGAGACCCTTGGGCTGGGGGGGGGGGGAATTGAAGCCTTACCATTCCTTTATCAGGAATTTTATAATATGATTTTAGCAAAATCTAACAGCTACAGTTTTCTATAAAGCAAATATTCCGAAGAGCCAGAATTTCTTTTGAATTGATATTTGGTGCTTTTGCATCGCATCGAAGCACCATAATGTGTTATTAACGCGACTCACCGAGTCAGAAAACTAAACGATCGCAGTTTTGAGGTAAGGCCCAAGGCAATAAAATATATTTTCTTTTCCTCAGAAGGCTGCGTTACGTCGTCCGAGTGTTGGTTCTAAATTGAAATAGTGTAACAGTGATTTTCGGGTATTATGAACGCTTAATCGGGTTTTTCATACATTATTAAATAAATGCCGAAACTTTTCATAGCCTTTGAAATTTTGAAGTGCATTTTATTAAACGGTGTGATAAAATGCCACAAAAATGATTTACGGTTTGCTCTAAGGTCTTTCGTTCATGGACGAAAAATAGGTTTTTCCCTGCGGAGTCCCTCCCCCCCGCTAACAAACCAGTACCTAAGTTTTTTGCAATGGTTTTGTTTTTTGTTGGTTGGTTGATCAGGGAAGCTTCCCTTTCCAACAGTCGTATAGCCTCTTCAAAATTCATCAACACCCACCGGCTTACAAGGAGTCGCTTTTAGGTGCTTTTGGAGTTTCGGGACGGGACCTAGCTAGTTCGATAGAGAAAAAAAATTCTGAGCAACATCCCGTTTTCAAAAAGTGCTGATCGATAAAAGTGTTTTAGAAAATTGAATTTAAAGTTCGCGCTTTTTTCTAGTTTTCGGGTCAATTTCCTCAGTTCACGTAGTTTTCGGGGCTGGGCAGGGTGCCATTCGTAACCCCCTGCCAATGCCTCCATCACAGGTTGCATTGGCGTATTGGTATATAAAATTTTAATCAGCAAAAAAGCAAAGAGTTAACGGTAAATAAGAATCGAACTTGTGGCAAAAGGTCAAAAAAAACTTCGTAGGCCATCGCACTAGCCACTTGGCCATGCCTAGGACGAGATCCAAGGCGCGTGAAGTCCTCATGTGGCAGGGGCGATCGACCGCCGCAAATCACCTCAAATCACGACAAGGGTCCGGACACCGGGAACATTTTTAATTAAATTAAATTTTCTAAAACAGCTTTTATCGATCAGCATTTTTTGAAAACGGGATGTTGCTCAGAATTTTTTTCTCTATCGAACTGGCTAGGTCCCGTCCCGAAACTCCAAAAGCACCTAAAAGCGACTCCTTGTTAGCTACGGGCATTCGGTCGTAATCACCCACACGCTTTTTAAGTTGTGCATCACATTTTTTGATGAACGTTTCTAATAGCTGCCGACAGACCTAAAAAGTTGCATAAATTTTACAAAATTACAACGAATTAAAATTTTACCTTCACTTCCAACTTTGTAGATTTTATTTTTCCCTTCGAGGATCGATGACAAGAATCTTTTTGCTTGGTGACTTTGTGCATTGCAAGCCCGGAAAAGTCTGGAAAAAGAATTAAAGTTTAATTGTATATGGGCCACGGGGCGCCGCCAAAGGCGCCCCGAGGCCCCGACCCATATATAGTTTAAATCAAAATTTCTGTATTTTATTTATCGAGTATATTTGCATTTTGAACTTTAAAATATGGACATGAACTATCCCAGTAAAAATTGGAATGATTCTGGTACCCGCTAGATTCTGGAATTTATTTTCATTGTCTAGAACTTCTCTGCTTTAAGCATAATACACGAATTTTTTTGTAATAATGAGTTAATTCTCATTTTATTGGTATTTTCTTGTTTTCAACGCAATTTTGTCAGACTTTCCTTGTCTAGAGTTTTAGCATCAACCCAAAACAAAAACTCAAAACTCAACGGCTCAAGAATTCGAAAAACTCCATCCGAAACCCAATTTCTTTGGCTTGATAATTTTAGAAATAGGTGGCAACGACCTACCAATTTCCTTTAAAGATCATATTGATGAATTCGTCTCAGTTCGATCACTTTCTTCCCGATACTTTTCACAGTCTCTAAAATTGAGCTAGGCGCGTCCTCGCCAATTGTAATCTTGGCAAATCGATCTAAAAAACCTTACGCAAATAGGTTGGGCATGAAGGCTAATTAAGGGGTTTTCAATCCAATTTTGTCATAACAGCAATAATTTTGTTGATGGCTTCAGATGAAGCCGCGTTTTTTTGTCTGGAAGAATTGCCCAAGTCGAGGTGCAGCACCTGGAAGCAGGCCGGATATTTTAACATGGAGTGACGGATCTGTTAAGTAAAAACCTAAGGCAAGCAGATACACAATATACGTGAAGAAAAACCGGCATCAAGTTAGAGAAACAGGCTCAAAAAATACATGACGTCAGAAAGTAGTAGATAAAATGGGCCTAGGTTTCAAAAAGGCCCGCAAATGGTATCCCAAATATTATGTCATTTCAAAGAGTAGGCCCGATTCCCCCAAAGCAATGAAATTCGAGAATTTTGTGATTAACGCTAATTTGCATAATACTAATTTCCTTTTTCCTTAAAACTACCTTAAATTTAGCTTCTCATTGTCTAAAATTACATGCCGTCAAATGTCTAAATTAGCCAAAAAGCAAACAATAATAGTAATAAAACACCAAGTAATTAAAAACAAACCAAAACAAATTTAGCTTCTTATAAGTTTTAGCATTGCCAATTTAGTTTATTTTACAAAGTAAACCATAACGTAATCGGTTTTGAAATGTACTATGGCCCGGAGGCTCTCTAAAGCCAAGCCCAGCCGAATCGATAGTGCCCTGAAATGTTGCGAACGGCGTTCCTTTTCCTCTCGGCTGCCCCGGGGAGGACACTGCGCTAAAAAACGTCACAAAAAATGGCCGGCGGCGCTCTTCCATAGGGCCCCTGCGGCTTCACGGCTTCCCCTATGAAAAGCCCCGAACGACCGGATCAAATAGGGGGGTTTTCCATTAAGAAGGACCTTGAAAATTTTTTATTTTTTAATAGCATCGAAAATGGAGTAGGGATCTTTGCATAAAATTTTGTATATAAAAATTTTGCAAATTATTCTTTTAGATGCCAATTTTAGGTTGCTATGATTAAATTTCGACCCAAATTGACATTATAAAAAATTCCATTATAAAACTTGTTCTAATATTTTAAAGTCTTTCTGCTTCAAATAGGGTATTTTTATTATTAAATAGCTTAATTTTAATATAAAAACATTTTATCTTTGACGACCAGGTCAATGTGGAGATATAGGAGAAATTCGATCCCTCCCCGCGAATCCTCACATTTCACGCGCTCACTTTTTTATAGTATGTACGTTATTAGCCGAAATAACGAATTGATTGCATAAAGGAGCATGGTTCAAAGATAATAAATCTTGTATTGTACATGAAATTACGAAATTAGTGCAAAACAATCCTTTATAGTTTTTTTATACAATTTCTTCCTTCGGTTCAGCATCCAGAAAATCGACAGGATGTGGTTTTCTCAAATTACAGCAATAGCGGCACATCGTCAACGGCATGCAAATACAGACTAATAGCGATTGTAGCAAATGGCAAATCGGTGAGCAACAGCCCTCAAAATACTCATCACTTCCGGTTTGCGAGGTCAACTCGGCCGTAGAAATGTCTTCGTAAACGACAGGTTCTTCAGAGACGATATAAGATTCTAGGGAGCTGGAGCTGCCCGATAAATTCATTTCTCTGGAATATAGACGATTAGAAAAGAATTCGAAATAAGAATGCGAATTTTTAGTTGCTTTGGAATCGGCAATTTATATAGATTTCATTTTTCTTGCATGAAGCGGCCGGAAAGAGGGCCGATTTTCCGATCGACCGCCATTAATTGATCACGACAAACGAGACGGATAATCTTGCACTGATTGTCCAAATGCGATCTCTTTGGATTCATTATTTTTATAGAAATAAAATTCTGATCGTAAATCCACGAGCACGAGTTTATTTTACATTGTATTTTGTCGCATTTCCAAGCTCTTTTTGCGGCAATCTTTATTCGATATCTCATTTATTTGTACTTGAATTTTTGTAGTTTATAGCCCAACGCCTTCGATCGACGACAGAATGCCATTTTTGAGCAGCTGCCGGGCGCTTCGCTGGTTTCTCGGCTGAGCGTCATCATTGTAGAATTTCCAGGCAGAGAAGCACCATCCACCTCGAGCCGACTTGTAGGCTTCGAGTTGAGCCTAGCAAGCCGGAATAAGTATATCTATCTATCTCTCTGTCGCTCTCTCTCCTTCTCTTGCTCACTCTCACTCCCTCTCTGTCTCTCGCCGTTTCTCTCAACTAACCATTGCAAATTCTCTCATCTCCTCATCCGTCATCTGGAATCCGCAGTCTAATGACCATTTCCCGATGAACAAGTCCCGGCCCTCCCAATTTGTAATTAGTTTGGAAGCGGATGTTCTGACGTGATCAAGAACCTAAAATTCTTAACAGTACTGTGGGCTATAAGCTGCTCTGACCTGTCCAAAGCTCTGCATTTTCGGGTTTACCGCGTAGTCAACATGCCATTCGTGTCGAATGTTGTACCAACCTGGCCACGGCATATAGGTTGACCAGTCGCCGGAGGTTAGATTTACTATATAATAATTTATTTCTCACACTTAGGTTTACAAGTAAACACTTATTAGTGGAGGTAAGGTTGAAAGTTTGTTGAAGAAAAAAGGGGGGGGGTCAGGAAGCATTAAGGCGTTAAATGGACATGATTAATTAAAGAATGGATGAAATAGGTACTAATCGGGACCTGCTTTTTAAATATCTTAGTTGAAGAACTATCGAAGGCAGATTGGGGCAAAGAATTCCAAAGAGCACATACACGTAATGAAAAGAACGACTTTTGTACAGAGGTTTTTTGACCGAGAATAGGCTTGAGCTTTACTAGGTCGTCAATTTCTCGGTACCATCTCTCTGACTCTTTCTCACTCTCCCTCTCTCTCTCTCTCTCTCTCTCTCTCTCACTCCCTTCCCCTCTCCCCCGCCGCTCTCTACCTACATTGTTGATCTACCAAAGGCGAAATCGATAGCAAGCAGTCCGACTCGGCGTTATCCCTAATCCTCCCATTGCAATCGTAGTAATATTGCTTTAGGGGCTGTGTTTCGACGTTTTCGGGCTCATCGAGTAGCGAGATGCCTGTAATTTAGCGTATTTTGTAATCATCTTAAACTTAATGACGACCTATGAACAAAGTTACCTAGAAAAGCCGCATCCTCCCGGTAGCGCTGGGCCAACCACTCGGCAAAAGCGTGCGTATTTTGGACATTGGTGGGCTTTTCGCACCAGCCATTGTGGCCTGAAAAAGTGCTGTTTTCTTGAGCGTTTTTCTGTGATTGCAAGGTTGAATTAAGATAGTAGATGCGATAATATTGACATAGCATTCCTACCTAATTTCTGTGGCGAGCTTGCTGCTTTCCCGTTTTGGCTTCCCATCGCTGCCTGGATGGCTATCATCACGAAGAGGTTATTTTTGTAGGCCCATTCTCGAATAGCACGATCCAGATAATCCACAGAACCTGGTGCCCAAGTTTTGACGACGTCTAGCTCGTCTGAAAACTGCTATAAAGCCTAAAATTATCATTTATTCTGTGGTTCCAGAAGTCGTTTGTATTGCTGTGGGATCCTGATTAGTACCTAGGATCATGTTTGGTATGCCTGGTCAGGAAAACAAGGTGTTATTGGCCCCGAAACATGAAAATTTCGCAACCTGCATGACCCTCTTTGCATCTAAAGACGCCGTGCCATCGCAGGGGCTCTGCCCAAATTTCTGCACCCAATAAGGCCGGGCTGGGATCACCGATTCTCTCACAGTGTGTGCACGGGTCCGCCGCGTCTGAGAGAAAGCTTTAAGGATGCGAATGTCACCTGCCGCGAATGTGTTGCGTGCGTTGCGTGTTGCGTCGCGTGTTGCGCAGTGTATTGCTTTGCTCATTGCTTTGCACGCTGCGTTGCATATTGCTGTGCGACTCGCATTTTGAAGCGCGATGTGTGACACGTTGCGTGCTGCGTTACGTGTCGCGTTTTGCCCTGCTGTGCGTATCGTATCACGTTGCGTATGGCTCTGACTTGAGTACCGCGTAACCCGTCGCGTGTTTGCTGCCACTACCCTACGCACCTCCAGAAAACCCATCAGCCCCACGCAACCAGTAGCCGATCGGAATCCGGACCGTGTTGAAGCCATACCCGGCAATCTCACAGAAATCGGCTTCGGTAATAAAGCGAACACGATGCTCCTTGAATTGTGCATCGCCTAGAAAGGATAATAAACCTTTTTTACGATATTATACCTTTCTCACAACCCAAATATTTCATCGTAATGTATTCTCCTTGAATAGCCGTATCTTCTGGTACGCCTTCCCAGGCTAGAGATCCTAATTTATTAGCTTATTATCAGTTTCTGGATTATATGATGAGTACGTTACCGTAATCTGTACGTCCGATCGTCGATACCTTTCGTAATAGCATATTCTGCTACCAGCCAACCGGCCAAATTTACAGCTCTGATTGGAACATCGCCAGTTAGCACTTTATCCTTGGCATCGAGGAATTTTCGGAGTTTTTGCTTTGTTGAGGTTGGCTAAAAAGGGATGCGTTTGAAAACCAAAACTAACCGAAATATAAGTACAAGGAATACATTTTAAACCCTCTAAATAGTCACGTTTTGCATTTTTTATCACTTGAAACAAATTTTCGAATTATTTGGGGGTTTTTAATAGAAACAATACCGTCATTAAACTAAAAAAGTATACAAAAATACAAAAAGTACGTTTTAAAACCTTGAATAACTCACATTACTGCTGCGGCCAACATCCGCCTCCATCGAGGAAAAATGAAGGATGATGGTACTATGACCTCAAGCGATTTTCTAGAAATTTAAAACACCCTTCGTAAAGAATAAATCAACATAGCGGAAATTAGTAGAAGGTAGGGCTTCTAGCATATTTCTTAAACTTTTGTAGCTAATCTTCGTTCAAAAAATAGGCCTCTTCGAGAACGTTTGTCATTTTTGAGATGTTTGCAGAAAGTGGCGAGCGGAAAAACGAGTGCAAATATCAAGCGCATGGAGGGGAAAGGTAACGGAACTTTTGGCGTTTTGCCTTTTCCCCATCCCATCATCATCAATTTGTCTTTTGCGCGTTTTCCTGCTTCCCGGTCTTTTTTTTGAGAGTGATACACGAGATCGATTGGGCATGGTTTTGCTCTTCCTCTTAAAGCGCTTTTTTTGTTTGCAAGCAATGCATCTCGAATTCGTAAATTAAATACTCGAAACTGATGCTTTTTGCCTTTCCTTTCTCACTAAGCTAATTTTAAAACTATTGTTTGAAGCTGGTTTTAGCTACAGAAATGGACGAATTCCAGAAGTTAAAAGATAAAATCAACATCCATGGGCACAAGCCGATTCGGGGCGTCAATTTAGGTGGATGGCTCGTAGCTGAGTACTGGATGACAAAGGGTTGGTTGAAAGAGAGAGCGAGAGTGAGAGAGAGCGAGAGAGAAGAAAGAGAGAGAGAGAGAGCAAGTGAAAGGGAGAGGGATAAAAATGTTAAGCTACGTTTCAGAATCACCAGCATGGCGCGGCGTTCCAGAAGCGATCGCGGAGCAGGGCGAGTATCAGGTCATGAAGTACTTGGGGCATGAAAGAGGTAAAAACATACTCCTAAAATTCACAAATATGCAAATTCTGTAGCTTGTCGAGTCAGAGCCGAAAGCTTTTATTTCTATATTTCGCTTTATTTTTCCTTTTTGGCGCCGCGGTTCTTCAAGACGTATAGCTTCAAAGCACGCAGATTTCAAATTTCCCGTCTATGCTTTAATGACAATAACCATTAAGGCATATCTAATTTTATTATTTGGCAGGCAACGCCCAATTCGATGCCCATCGCCGCAACTTCATCACTGAGGCCGATTTTGCCCAAATTTCCGCATACGGTCTGAACACCGTTAGAATTCCGATTGGCTACTGGATACGAGAAGCAGGTGGTGGAGGTAAAAAGACAATTTTTACTGAAAATGGAGTATACGAATTTCAGAGGATAGAACTTGGGCCCCAGGTGGAATCACCTATCTGGATCGTGCGATTAGAGAATGGGGCCCCAAGCATAAACTTTTCGTGCTCATCTCAATCCACGCAGCTAGGGGAAGTCAAAATGGATGGGATAGCAGCTCGCCGCAGGAATTTTGTAAGTCGAAAGAAAAAGGGAGTGTATGTGTGTGAGAGAAAGAGAGGGATAGCAAGAGCGAGAGAGAGAGTGAGGGCGGGAGAGAGCGAGAGAGAGAACGAGAGTGAGAGAGGGTTAAAGACAGAGAAAGAGAGAGAAAGAGAGAGAGCGGGAGAGAGAGCGAGATAGTGGATGAGAAAGGGCAATGAGAGAGGGCGAGAAAGAGAGAGTCCCGCTTTTTAACCCCATGAAACTAATTTCTTCTAGTAAAGACCAATTGGGATAAGCATCAGGAAAACATCGACGACACCGTAGCACTGGCCAACTGGTTAGCGTTACGCTATAAAGACGATATCTGCTTCTTAGGTGAGTTGATACGTACTAAAGGTGTCTGGAAGTCGACCATTTGCTTCAATTAGGTAATGCTCCCTTGATCAAAAAGAATCTAAGGAATCAAAGGAATCAAATCTTTTCAGGAATCGGGCTGCTAAACGAACCGAACAAAGTGGATCCTGATAAATTAACCAGATACTATCTGGAGGCTGGTGCTCGGATACGTGAGCATAGTGATATGTGTATGATTGGTGTTGCTCCACTGTTGAATCAACAAGGTTAGATCCAACGTAGCCCTCGCTTTCTCCCTCGCGCTCTCTCTCTCTCTCTCTCTCTCTCTCTCTCACCTTCTCCCTCTTCACTCTCGTTTTCTCTACGGTTTTTAGAACCCGGCGGCCCCGAGCATTGGGAGAAATTCATGAATTACCCGAAATGGGCGCGGATTCGACATGAATGGCACAAGGGCATGATTTGGGGCTATGAGAATTATGATGCCGAAGAGGTGAGAGAGAGAGAGCGAGAGAGAGAGACAGAGAGACAGAGAGAAAGAGAGGGAGAGAGATGAGAGAGAGAAAGAGGGAGAGAGGGCGGGAGAGAGACAGAGAGGGAGAGAGGGCGAGAGAGCGTAAGAGAGAGGGAGAGAGAAAGAGAGAAGGACTGTGTAAGCGGTGTTTTTAGATAATAAAACTCGTCCAAACCGACGTCGCGCAACATTTTGTAAAATGGGATATTGACGGCGGGAATTGGCTCCTTGTCAGCGAGTGGAGTCTGGCTGCCGCGGTTCCCATGAATGAGGAGCAGATGCGAAGGTTTGCAAAGGTATCCGATTTTCTTCAATCAATAACGGTTGATGAAGCGTTTTTTTAACAAATTTCAATACAGTTTAAGTTCTAACTTATAACCTAGTTTTAGGCCCAACTTGTCGCCTACAAAAAGGCGCGGGGCGGGTGGATCTTCTGGACTTGGAAATTCTATGGTGAAGATGAAGATGGAACTAACGCTTGGAGCGCCAGGCAAATGTTCAAGAACGGGTTATTGCCGAGAATTGATTTGGATTCGGAATAGAAACGTGTTTTTGGGCTCTATTGTGAAGATTCACTAATGACAAGTCTCACTTATCGGACCTTAAGATGCGAAAGGTCAAAATACCGACATTCGATATACTGATAACCAGATTTGGACGATTCGATTCGATCAAATATCGACAGGCCCGTAGGAGGGGGGGGCCCAGGGGGCCCTGGGCCCCCCCCGAAATCGGTCGAGGTCCGAAAAATTCATAACTGGGGACCCTTATGATTTTTAATTACAAAAATTTTTCTGCCTGCGGCGCTGTTTATTACTGTTTTTCAAACAGTTTTTACTTATATGAAGCCTATTTTTTCGAAATTTTTTGCCTGCGGCGCTGAATTTTCATTGGTGAATCAATTGTTCACAAAAATTTTCGCCTGCGGCGCGTTTTCTGCCGTGTTTTCACACGAATTTGAATGTAGGGAACGCTTTTTTGCGATTTTTTTTGCCTGCGGCGCTATTATTGACGCGATTTTCGGATGTTTTAAAAGTGACGACCGGGGGGAGGTCGCCAAAATTTTTGGACCCCCGAAATTTCGGTTCCGCTACGGGCCTGAATATCGACGATTAACCTCTAGACGGTATAAAACGGACTGCAAAATATCGATATACAGAATACCGACAAAAATTACGACAGGGATACCGACATTCGAGAAGCCGACCCTCAAAATACCGACGTTCAAAGCCCCGGCATGCGAGAATCCAGACAAGCAAGATGCCGAGAGCCAAATCCCGAAAACATAAAAAATCTTTTTTCGCTGTCGGGATTTTCTATAGGTCTTTTAAATGTAGGTACTATGATTGCCACTCCTATAAAAACACTTAAAAACCTTGGCTGTTCCCATTTTTTTTGGTGCATCGATATCGACTTTAATTAATTGTAAAGCTTTATCGCTTCTCCTCCTCCTCCTCCTCCACCTTCTGTGACTTAAAAAATTCGAGCTCCTGGTCGGGGATATCATTGATGAGCAGCAGAATCGGGACCGGGTATGCCAGGTGTACCTAAAAATTGTAAAGTTGAAATTTTTTATTTTACAAATATTTTATATTTTTGTATGATTTCTTATCTATTGATCTGTTTAATTATAGACCTACTTTCATAGATTGCATCTGCGTCAACCCGGCCATTTTTGCGTCCAAAACGGACGCCAGGCGACTCACCGACGCCCAGAACTCGTCGTTTTTCACCTTTTCCTTGGCGAGGGGAAGGAGCTGAATTTAATGGCGTAATTGGTCGATTGAAGTTTTTGGAAGGCAGCATACTTTCGAACATGTTACAAACCGTTTTGGCAGATTCTCGAACATTTGCCGTAACATTTGAAAATGCCTCTTTGATCGTGTTTGTCAGGATTTGAATATTCGGTGTCGTCGTCTTCAAGGCGCTCCAGAAGCGGTAGCCGCCCTGAATTGGTTTTTTTGTTAAAAAACTATTGACTAGGTATTTTCCATCCAATGCATTAATGACTGCACTTGTTGTAAGCTAGCGTGGTAGAAAGAATCTGAGTGGATTGGCAAATTTTTACAAACATTTTTGGCATTTTTATTGCTGGTTTGTTGTGGCACTTGCCACTAATTTCAAAAACATACCAGCAAGAATTTAACTTCAATCTAAATTTAAATTTGCTAAATCAAAGCCCCCCCCCCTGATTTCAAAACTTTCTTCAGATTCAGGTGTCACCGCGTCTTTAAAATAATCTAGCTGAATCACAAGCTAGCTTGAAGCTGCTACACATCTAGAAGTCACAAAACATACCTTTCTCAACTGCTGTCTCAACATGAATCGTGCCAGAACTCCAACGAATTTACGCAAGCTGCGGCGTTCCCCGGGCGACATCGCATCGAGGACGGTAAGAATCTGAAATAACTCTACTTCCAGGAAGCTATCAAATTTTACTTACCTCTCGATGAACTGTGGACTTCAGATGCCAGGTCAAATTCTGGCGCAGTTCATCCATATTTTCAGTAATTTTCCCGTTCGCTGTATTCAAGGCAGAATCGAGTGTCGGGTCTTGGCCCTTGATGGCGGTTCGGGACTAAAATCAGAGGTAGAGAGAGAGAGAGAGAGAGAGAGAGAGAGAGAGAGCAAGAGAGAGCGCACGTGAGAGCGAGGGATGGACACAGAGCGATGGAGTGATAGAGCGAGAGTGAGAGTGAGAGAGAGAAAGAGTGAAGGTGAGAGAAATATCTCACCTTTTCCAAAACCCCCATCAAATCCCTCAACACCTTCTGCGCCTGTTGCTCGAGCTCCAAGTTTATCTTCTGACAGAGAGGCACCGATTTTGGTAGTAGCTCGGTCAGGTTTTTATTGAACTGTAAAAGTCAGGTTTTTTAGATTTGATAATTTTCAAACCTCTCCAAAATCCTCTTCGCTTTCGGGGAAAATTCCGAGGAGTACGGTGGCGTTTCCGACTTCGTACTTTGGAGCCAAGTGGACGAGTTTGAGGAGGTTGATGGGGAGGGTTAACTAAAATTTCTTTTAAGCATTAAATTTCGTTTAGATATAAAAACGTAAAAAGCTAAATAACGATAATTAGGTTACAAAATAGCCCAAGTTAAAAAACGGTTTCGAAGCCTTAAAAATTGACTTATTATAATAAATATAATTATTAATTTTAATTGTAGAAACTCGACGAAAATAGACATTTTAATCCATTTTCATCATCTAAAGATTGTTATATACCAATTTAAGGGCATTTTCAAACGTAAATCCTTACATTTACAGGATGCACAAAGTGCTCGAGCTTCAGCTTCTCCAGCTCTGAATTCATGCCGTCCTCGAACTCCTCCACCAGGGTGGCATTGGCCGGCTGAGCATCGGAATTTTGCAATTTCTTGGCAAAGTTTTTGAACCTGATCCCGGTATACCTCCTTCCAGTCGGCCTTGTACTCCTCGACGATCTTGTCGAAAAATTTGAGAATGTTCTTGGGAAGCACGATCAGGGTGTTGAAGAACCTTGGTGAGAAAATCGATTGGTAGTCGAGGAGCTGGAAAAACGGAAATGAGAAAACTGGGTTAAAGGGAGCGTGACACTCAAAATTCCGTTCCTCCAACACCAGAACGCTGGCAAGGTAGCAGAGATCATTAAGGACACCGAAATTGTGTTGTCAACCTTCCAAGTTTAGAAACGCGTTAGAAAGAGACTGGGCAGACTAGCAAACACAATTTGGGAAACGCAAAGTTTTTTCTAGCTGGAAAATGCGGGTTTTCAGAAAAAATGCAAATTCAAACTTTCTGTTCCGGCTTCTGGCTTTTCCGGCTTTCTTGATTAGGGCAAGCTAGCAAAGATCCTTTAGAAACGATCTTGATGTTTCGATAAATTGTAAATTACCTCATTTCCATCAATAATATCTGCGGTTTGAAATATGTGGCTTCGAACGTTGTATAATTCTTCATCGTCCAGATTCGTGATAGTGAAATTGACAATGTTGGCCTAAAAAAACCGACTTTTGAAAGATCTTTTACCACGTTAATCGTAAATTACTACACTTCGCCAATCCGTTAACATAGAATACGCGGAATTACAAGGTACGCTACAACTGCCACAATCCACATACCGCATATTTCAGCATCGTCAACTTGGCCTCGCTGACGTTCCCTTTGAATAGCTCCTCGAATTTAGCCTTCTCTTCCGAAGCAGCTTTCATCTCTTCCGGATACTTTCCAGCTAATGATGGGACTGCCTCAAAATTCGTGTAACTCGCATGCGATCATTTTCGTTCATACGCCGATTTTTTGCCTACCTGCATGTAAAATCTCGCCAGCGTTCCGTACAGTAATGAATACGGATTGGCCACTTGTTCCTGCATTTTCTTGATGCCGTCAACAGTAATTGGGCATGGTTTGGAGAGATCGGAGAAGATCTGAAGCATCATTTTTTTGTGGAAGCATTGTGAAAGACTGGCTTACGCCGAAGCGTAAGCCTAAGCCTAAGCCTAAGACTAGCCTAAGACTAGTGACAAGCCTAAGCCTAAGTCTAAACACTAGCATAAGCATACGTCTGAGCCCAAGCCTAAGCCTAAGCCGGAAATTTAGGCATAAGCCTAAACCTAAGCCTAACCCTACCCGGACGCCTAAGCCTAATCCTAAGCATCTTCAATACCTCAAAATCATGCAAAAACTTTGATCTTACCTCATCACTCTCTCTGATAACCCATCCATCAGGCAGCTTGATCGATGTGGCAGTATGTAAAAGCAAGGCAAACACAAAAAGCGCCCTCATTCCGTAGAATAACCCGAAACAGCACTGACAAAAGCGGCAACCACCGTTCCCACAAATTTCGAGAGTGATTTCCGAGTGATTTTCCAGAGGAAGCGGAAAGGAGGGGACCGTCCACTCACAGAACACGCCTCTCTCTCTCTCTATCTCTCTGTCTCACTCTCTCTCCCTTCTGCTGACCTCTAAATTGGATTAGTCGCTGGTTTGGTGTTCCGTTTTTTTTCCAGCGGAAAACCAGAAATCTGAAGAACTCATGATGTCTCGAGGACCAGCGAGGGTTCCCCCTAATTCGATGCATCTCTGAAAATTCGCTAAAAAGTGCGCGCGCCTCGCGCAGAGATCGGGGTTGCGTCAATGGGGGACGCGTGGCTGAGAATTTAGAATTTCCGGGTAGTACCTGTGGTTGACCTGTCGCTGAGGGTTGTAAAGTGGAAACTACACGTGAGTCTGGCTAATTAGATGTACTACCAGGGTTGAAAAGCCGCTTCGCGACTTTTCAACCCTGGCCCCGTCTGATCCGATGATATTCTTCACTTTGCATAATTCTCACGATTTTCGATCACAAAAATGAGAAACGCTGCTTCTCTTCCCTTATATAGGCTAGCGCAACTTCCGGCGTATGCTAATTGTTTCCTAACAAAGAGGCTGGCCGATTTTTCCACAAAAACTTCATTTTAACGTCAAAAACATATAATTTTTCAAAATTTTATTAGCGTGCAGTCATCCCCAGGCCATTATGCACATAATGACGTATCAAACATGCCCTTAACTACTCCCCTTATTGAGATACTACTGGAACAACCTGACGGAAGTTGCATGCAAAGTGGCACACACACACACACAGACACTACTTTTTTATATATAGTAGGATTAGATGCCAAATTCGGGTACCAGGAGCGAAAATGTTGACGTCCAACCGTCATTTGAAGAAAAATCGTTGTATTTTTACGACAAGATGAATGTAATAATTTGGTAATCATGCATGGAAAAAGTTAAAATTCCATCGAAAACCGGCTAATCCAATTGTTAATGATCCCGGCTCAGCTACGCTTCTATGATTCTTTGAGTCTTTGAGCTTGGTAATTATGCACCATGCACCCTTCTGATCAACCGCAAATGAGTGATCCACTCCGATTAGAAATACGATGCGGAAACTGCTGCACAAAAACGATCCGATTACACTAAACTGGCCTCATGTGGCGCGCGTTGAATTATCGCTACGAACTTATACAATAAGTCTTGATCCCACACTTCGAAGGGACTTGATTTTACTGATGGGAAATCAATTCTACTCAAGAAGAGAGAGATTGTGAGAGACCGCGAGCGCGCGCGAGAGAGAGAAAGAGAGTGCGAGAGAAAGAGGGCGTGAGAGCAAGATAGAAAGTTCGACTTTATCGAGGCTTAAAATTCTATAGGAAATATTTGCGTACAATCTTAAACATTTTATTAATTCTCTAACAACACATTTTAGCAGCTTCAGCACTTTTGGCGGCGACGACAACTGGCTTGTTATTTACGCCTGAAATCCAACAATTTTTAAAATCATTTTCCCTCCATTAAATGTTTAAGGTACAGCATAAGCGCTGCGGTTTATATTTTAGCCATAAATTAGTTTTTATAGTTCTTACGCACCTCATTTAGTACCTAAGCTTATTGAAAAAACAAAGTTGCCTGGCCCGAAAATGTTCCCGTACACACAGTACGTCGCGATTGTTACTGTATATATTTTTGACCTACAAACTGGTTGATTTCCACCTTCACACCCTAAATAACATCCCAAATCATGCGCCAAGCAGCCAGAAATCGCTTTTCGTCACTTCAAGGGGTCCTGCTCGTGCCTTCGAGAAAAATAGTCCGCGTGCCCTGTGGGATTAGGATGATAAATGACCCCTCGAGGATAGTGTGGAGAGTGGGAAGGTGCGAACGGTTCTTTGTGCCATCTTTGTACTAAACACAGACACAGACGGACACAGATGTGAAACGTACTGTTCAGGGGTGAGAGCGAGTAAAAAAGGTCGTTGTCTGGCGGGTGTCTGTTGGTTTTGGGACGGGAACAGAGTGATTGACGAAGCGACACAATGCCGCAAAATTTGCATACGAAAGCGAAGTGGAAGATTTTGCCTTTTTGTTTCCTTGATCGAACGGGTTTGTTGATGGCAGGCTTACAGAGGTCATTAAAAGCGGCGACGTCTTGTGAGTAGTCTTAATGATTAAAAAGGAAACCGACACAAAATACCTATGCAAACTTGAGGTAATTAAATTACCATACCATAAATTTCTTCACGTTCCTCTGCAAAGCTTTCCGTTGTTAGGCGTTCTCTAACTTACCATAGTACCAAGAACAGCACTCGTCTCACCGTTTCCATGTAAACACGAAGTCACATCCCGAATCGAGAATATTTTTCGATATGTTACTGTACTATTGTTCCCGTAAACACATGTTCTCACTACTCTAAGGCACCTTCACCTTAGGTAAGCTTGGATAAATTCATAGCGTAACGAGCTCGTTTACGTTCTAAAAACGAGTTTTGAGTGTCATACTCCCGTTAGAAAAAAGCAACCGATACCTTGATCCCTCCAAAAATCATTTTCCCTACGATTCCTGAAAACGCACCACCCGGTATCGGTTCAGACAATAAGGGCGGAATTTGGTTTGAATGAATAAATTTTCAGGTTTTACCTGAAGAGACTTGGTGTCACGCTTCCTTTAAGACCAGGAAAATGCATGCGACAAAAGGGTGCATGCGACAAAAGGAGAGCATAGTAACGAAATTCCGATCCTCTACTTTTTATGCCTTTCTTGGGCCACCCCTTGCTTTATAACACATTTAAAACGGAATGTCTAATCGCTGTCAATTCCCATTTTCCATGTGACACCTAAAAGCACGCGCCGCCAGATCTTGGTTCAGGCAATCCGGGAAGAAAATAAGGTGTGATGGATATCTAGATGATGACGCCCCGAAAGTGAACATATCCATCTTCTTCCTCTCAGGATCGGAATGTTTTATGGGGGGAAGAGTTGACCGCCGAACCCCGCGACGCCCCTCCGAACGCTTTATACTTCGCCCGACTCGCTCAGCTGACAAAACAAGGAAAAAATGCCACAGGGCAGAGTTATTTTTGGGGCGCGAAATCTGGCAGAGAAAGAGGGGGAGAGAGAGCGAATGAGAGAGAGTGATTGATTGAACCCTTGGGGGGGGGGGGTATCAGTGGGGTATGAGAAACTCGTTCCGCGTCTCGAGGCTCCACACTACACATCGGTTTTTGGGGGATGTTGTGGATTTTGATCTGTTCGGGAGTACTGGAGGCTGCACTCTGGACGATATGGTGGTGTTCATTTTGACATTATTGTTTCCCGGCATTACTTTTGTATAGTTGTATATCTTACAAAGGCCTAAGCCTAAGTGCAAACCTATACCTAAGCCAATCCGGAAGGTTCTGCCAAAACCTAAGCCCCAGCCCAAGCCTAAGTTAGTGACTAATCTAAAGTCTTGGGTCGGAATATCGGATTTTTCTTACCAACTCAATACTTTAATCAGAAGTTCTGCTCATCAGCTTAAGCATATTTCTCATGTTCTCCCAATGCCCTCAAATCATATCACAAGCGCACGCGCCCAATCGCCACAACCCAAAAAAGGCATCAGCAATGCCTAGAGGGCGGCATCGGCTTTTGGCTGGCATTCGGAGCCTGTTTCACGGCCTCCCTCTCCTCGTCGTCGTCGTGCGTGTCCTTGGCTTTTCCTGCTTTTCTTTTTCTTGCCTTTTTTTGTGGCGTCTCTCACCTCTGAATCTGGCACTCATATTTTGACAATTTGCCCCTCAACGTCGACCGGCGCACAGTTTAATATCCTGTCGTTGACGCTGGGAGGGGTGGCCTTGCTTTTTCTTCTCTGGCTTTTTTGATGGTAATTGCTAATTCAGAAATCACTATCTACTGAAGGGACAGGATTTAATTGTCTGCTTAATATCCTTGTTTTTTTTTTTTGGTAAAATTTATTAGGCTTACCATTGGCTTTAATATGGAAATGCCGTGGAGCTTTCTTACAAATCGTCTCAAACTTTTTTTGATTGTCTTTAATACCTTGCTCTATCATACTCTATACCTCTCTCGTGCTTAAGATCTTTCTCTCTCGTTCTCACGATCTCTCTCTCTCTCTCTCTCTCTCTCTCTCTCTCTCTCTTTCTCCCTCCTTCTCACTCTCGCTCGCGCTCTCTATGGTTTCGATTCTGGCTTTCTCTCGTTCTTTCTGTAACTCTTAAATTCGGAAAAACTCAACGATTCGTAACCCTGTCTCGTTGAGTCAAGGAATCCCATCCAGCTTCATATCTGCATCTGCGCCAGGCTGTTCCCCCAATTTCGTTTCTATTTATTCCGTTCGTTACTTTCTATTTATTATCTGTTTTTCCTTTTCCGCCTTTCTTTCTGCTTTGGTTATCATCTCCTCAAAGCGAGAACCAGCCCCCGGCTGCCAAGTTCAATGCCATTGGCGATCGAGAGCCGGTTCTGGAAATTGGCATTTCTAGGGCATTCCTCTACCGCGCTTTTCTTATGTAAAGTATGAATTCGTTGACAAAGGTAAAGACCATCGTTTTGGTCATATATGATCCTACTATATATATAAAAAAATAGTGTCTGTGTGTGTGTCTGTGTGTGCCACTTTGCATCCACTTCCGGATGTCTGTCCGGAGGATATCTCGATAGGGGATGAATTTTAAAGTATGTATGATACGTCATTAGATGCGTAATGGCCTGGGGATGACTGCACGCATATCAGGTTTAACAAAATCACCTATTTTCGACATTAAATTTAAGTTTTTGTGAAAACCTCTTTGTTAGGAACAATTAGCGTAGACCGGAAGTGGGGATTCGACTATATAAAGGGGCTAAACAGGTACTTTTTCATTTTTTGTTATCTGAATTCAGGAAAATTATGCAAAGTGAAGGATAAAACGGGTCAGACGGGGCCAGGGTTGAAAAGTCGCGAAGCGGCTTTTCAACCCTG